TGGTCTGTTGACTGACCTTTGTATTTGTTCAAATAATAGTTATGGGCAGGTTACAATATAAAATGTTTGTTATAATCATGTCTTGTGATTATTTGTCGGGAGTTTTACTTTTAAACTGTAAGTGTATTTAATTTAGTTATAATGTAAATACAATAAAAATTATAATTTTGATCCATACATTGTTAAAGTCTGGCTGTATGTTAAATAAACTGGGCCCAGAGGTCAGACAGGTGAAGAAGGCCTGCTGTCCTCAGTGTTTTAGATCAGATCAGAGATAAATAAATATCTGTACATGTTCAGAGGACAACACGCACTCATCAGGACCCGTACTGATGACGCAGCTGCTCAACGACAGGAAAAAAAACATCAATCGTCACTTCCGGTCGAGGCCAGTCAGGTCACGTGATATGACGACAGCTCGCTGACTGTGCTATGTGTTTTCTCTGTGTATTTATTTAGAAATGACACTTTTCTCGCTTGTACCGGCTCATCGTGTTGGAGGGACGCTCCGCAGCCGTCAGAACTGTCGCTCCGGACCACGCTGCTCCAGAAGTCCGCTGTGGAAACCCGCCGCTGTGGGCCTGCACGTCACGTGACCAGCATGCGGCTGAGCGTCGGATAAAAAGATGGCGTGGAGCGCCCAGGAGCCGCGAGGACAACAAACCTTGAAGTGCCGAGCGGCCGGACCTCAGAGAGCCGAACAGGTGAGTCCTCCCGGGCCTGGAGCCTGTTTGTCTGACTTCACCTGGTGTCCTCACCTGTATGAAGCCCTCACCTGTGTCTGCACTGCTACATTTCACAGCTAACATGTAGAAGTTAGCGGGTTTTGAACAGATTCTCTCCCAGATGCTAACGTTAGCTAGCAGCACAGACGGCCCGGTGTGAAAGCGTTAAAAACATCAGAACAACAGCTGGTTGGTTCACTCATTCATCTCACACTGATCACATTAACAATGACAAGTAAAGGTTTTAACATGTTTTATTCCTTTATTATGACTCTTTACTTACCTTAGCATCCAACGAACCGAGCTACTTATTTTAATATCTGTTCGTTTATTAAACTGCTCTGAATCAACATGATGTGTTAAAATTAACTTCTGTCATGAAATAAAGTCACTAAATGAACAAACTTATTACAACTGAAACTCTGACTTAATGATGTTGATGTGGAGCTGAGTGACATCATAAACTAACATTTAGCTTACTGTAAGAACATGTGCACAATTAATGAGAACATGTGCACAATTAATGAGAACATGTGCACAATTAATGAGAACATGTGCACAATTAATGAGAACATGTGC